CGCCCCGGCTTTGGCCCCCCCTTGCTCCAGTTCGGCGGCGGACGGACGGAGAGGTGTGGCAGCAGCCGGCCCCGCGGGGCAGAGAGGGGTAAGGGGCTGTATCGGGGGGAAGGGCTCGCCCCCACTGCCCTCCCAAAGGGAGGAGAGCGTCCAGGGGGGTCAGCAGCTGAATATAACAGAGATGCAGCTGCTTCTGGGGTGGGGAGGGTATCAGGGATGGGGGACGGGGCTGTGCTGTGGCTGGCTCTGGGGGGAGATGTGGCAGTGGCTGAGTGGCACAGCTGCAGCCACCTCTGGGGTGGGGGGTGTTGGCAGCTGAGTAAAACAGAGCCACGGCTGCTTCTGGGGTGCGGCATGGGAGAGCAGCTGAATATAACAGAGATGCAGCTGCTTCTGGGGTGGGGAGGGTATCAGGGATGGGGGACGGGGCTGTGCTGTGGCTGGCTCTGGGGGGAGATGTGGCAGTGGCTGAGTGGCACAGCTGCAGCCACCTCTGGGGTGGGGGGTGTTGGCAGCTGAGTAAAACAGAGCCACGGCTGCTTCTGGGGTGCGGCATGGGAGAACGGGTGCAGGGCTGCCGTGCTGCTGGCTCTGGGGTGGGACGTGCCAGCAGCCAAGCAGAACGCATGCAGCGACCTCTGGGGGTGGTGCTGCCCCGGCCCCGCCTCCTCGGGGCGTGGCTTGGAGGCCCCGCCCCCAGACACCTGTCCCACGTGGGTCTCACCTGCTGAATTTCCTGCTTCTGGGGTGCGGCATGGGAGAACGGGTGCAGGGCTGCCGTGCTGCTGGCTCTGGGGTGGGACGTGCCAGCAGCCAAGCAGAACGCATGCAGCGACCTCTGGGGGTGGTGCTGCCCCGGCCCCGCCTCCTCGGGGCGTGGCTTGGAGGCCCCGCCCCCAGACACCTGTCCCACGTGGGTCTCACCTGCTGAATTTCTCCTTCAAGGCCTCCAGCTCGGCCCAGGTCTGCTCCAGGCCCTGCTGCCCCCGGGCGCCCGCCGGAGCCTGGGCCGCTAGGCTGGGGGCAGAGAGC